CACAAGAAAGAATATGCAAATTAGTGATTAAAGTACAAAAAGGTACTCAATTTAGTTGTTCACCAGGAAAATATAAATTAACTCTCAGTGAAATACCAATACCCACTTATCAGCATGGCTAACATTTTAAAAGCAAACAATACAAAATGTTAGTGAGGCTTTGGAGCAATTAGAACTTATATACATTGCCGGTGAGTATAAACTGATACTAACGCTTTACAAAACTGGCAATATCTATTAAAGATTAAACATATGTTTACCCATGATCGAATATACCCACTCCTAGGTATATCCCTAAGAAACATATGTACCTCTGTTTATTAAAGATATAGACAAGAATGTCCAAAGCAGCATCATTCATAATAGGCAAAAATTTGGAAACATCACAAATGCTCATTGGTAATAGAATGAATAAATCAGTGGTGGCTCCCTGATACATCAGAGTAACATTTAGCAGTAAAAATGAACAAATGATTGCTGCATACACGAATAAGTGTCACAAATTTAATGTTGAACCAGAAAAAAAGCCAGACACAAAAGACTACACCACTGTATGATCTCATGTCTATAAAGTTCAAGAGCAGGCAAAACTAGTTTCTGGTGATGGAAGCTAGAATACTGGATGCTTTCAGGAGCTAATGATGGAGCAGGCATGAGGAGGGCTTCTGAGGCGCTGAGAATTTTCTACCTCTTGATCTGTGTGATGGTAACGTGGATGTGTTCTCATGGTGAAAACTCATTTAACTGCACACCTGTGACTTGGGAACTTTCCTGTATGTATGTTTTATTTTGACAGAAAGTTTATTAAGCTCAAGACAAAAACCTTATTTTTAGGCTAGGGCTTACAAACAAATGTGAACTGAAAGAGCCAGCCAATTCTTCAAATTGAATCCTCTGTTAGGCCTTTCTTGCACTGTTATAAAGAATACCCAACACGGGGTAATTTATAAAGGAAAGAGGTCTAATTGGCTCACTGCTTTGCAGGCTCTACAGGAAGCACGGCGCTCGCATCTGCCTGGCTTCGGGGAGGACTCGGGACTCTTGCAATCATGGCAGAAGGCAGAGGGGGAGGAGGCAGGCACATTGCATGGTGAAAGCAGGAGCGAGAATGGCAGGGGAAGTGCCACTCTTTTCAACGACTAGATCTCAGGAGAACTCATTATCACCAAGACAGCACCAAGCCGTGAGGAAGCTGTCCCAACACACCTCCCACCAGGCCCCACCTCCAGCCCTGGGGATTACAAATCAACATGAGATCTGGGCAGGGACACAGCTCCAAACTCTATCAGATCCCAACTGGCTCACTGGGCCTAAATTTTAAATACAGCCAAGCAGCCAGTTGCTGACTAGAGGTCGCATGTGTACTCTGAGTTTCTGAAAACCCTCATCTCTGTTTAATTTTGGAACTTTCAGCTCTCACCTTAACAAACCAGTCCAGGCTCCACTTTATCAACCAGTCAGGGCTCAGCTGCATCAACCAATCAGCACTAAGCAAGTTTGAATGCTTCTGTTGCATAAATGAATCTGATTGGGAACCCGAGTGGGAAATATTTCTCTCTATGTAGAAGCCAAATTCCATATTTGTTTTCTGGAATGCACCTTCCAAAGGCTATGCGTCAAAAGACGCAGTCTCCCCAATTTGTACACTGTTCATTGGAATAAAGTCTCCTTCCTCAAATTCCTCTTCAGAGAACTTTTGTTCACAGGCTTAATAGGGCAATGGTGGTCACATGAACGTGCAGACACTATGCATGAGCTGAAGGGGGAAGAAGAAAAGAGGAAAGGAAACCAGCAGGGAAGGGTGGGTAAAGTTGAGGCTGATTTACATTTGAAAAAGGGCCAAACCCTTAAGTCAAAGGCAAGAGTTTATTCTCTTAACCACCCTTCCTTTTATCCCTTGCCAGCAGCCTGGAAGTTCCAGACTGTCAGGAATAAGTTCCATTTGTCTTTGCATCCTCCAGCTCCGTCCCTGGTATCCACACAGTAGCAAGGGCTCTGTAAACAGCCTTCGATCTTGCTCTTGAGAACTCACACATGATGGATAAAATAACAGAAAATACAGATCCAATGCTAATTGAATAGCTCACAAGGTCATTTAAAATCAAACTTCTTTTAGAGGGACAGCTGCAGGAAGGTTGTTGTTACAGAAGGGTTCAGTTTCATCTGGCTTATCCAAAAAGTAAAGCCTTTGCTACCACAGAGGGCCAGGCCTGCAGACCCTAGAACCCTGAGCACCACTCCTGAGACATGAATGGCACTGAAGGCCCCAGAACAGGCAGCCAAAGGACTAGGCGGCCTTCCACTGATGCAAGGATTTCAGAGTTAAACTTTTAGGTGTGTAGGAGTGGGGCATTTAAAACAGCCTGCTTTCCAATGAGCTGGAATTAAATGGGGATATTATTCCATCAGAGGCTCTCACTAGGAGGTGATAACCTATGTCCCTGATCACCGAGGGGATGGTGTCCTTATTCCTACCCTTGTCATGCCTCCCACATGTCTGTATGACATTGACCTGAAACCACCTTTGCAAAATTACGACAGAGAAATATGACATAGTTGACTCCATCTTACTTCTAACCTCCAATCTCTCCTTGGTCATTCTTGGGTGCAGACCAAGCTGAATTTGGGACATATTTATAGTTTAACCTTAAAGCAAGGATAATAGCCCTTCTTAAAATGAAAGCACCTTTATAAAGCTAATGAAAGGCTACCAGGTTAGGATTATAAGAGGGGCTTGAATTCTGCTAAGATGTTGGCATAGTTACTCCTTACTGTTCAGGAGTCATGTGACTAAAGGTCACAAGATTTGTGACTTCCCTAATTACTTCTAGAGATAACATCACCATTATAGAACCTAATAATTTTTTTTGAGATATCTTTCAGAGTAACCCCACCCAGACTCCTGACTCAACCCATCCTGTGGCCCCACCCAGAAATGGACATGAGAACCATCTTCCAAAACCTTACGACTTCATCCGCAACCAGTCAACATTTGCCATTCCTGTGTCCTCTGCCCACCAAACTATCTTGAAAACCCATAATCTCCAAGACTTTGGAGTGACTAACTTGAGTAATAGCTCTGTCTTCCACATGGTGTGGCCAGTCTCATATCAATGAAACTTTCTTTACTGCAGTACCGTAGTCTCAGCAGATTGACTTGTCTGTGCAGTGGGCAAGAAGACCTTGTTGGGCAATTACAGACCTTCCAACGTGAAGGATGAGAGGACAGCCTTTTGGGGCTGATAAAAACGTCTCACTCTTCCCCTTCTGTTATGGGCTGAATTTTCTCTCCCCCACCACCAAATTCATATGTTGAAGTCGTAACCCCCAGGACCTCAGAATGTGACTGTATTTAGAGATAGGACCTTTAAATAGGTCATTAAAATAAGCTGAGGTCATATAGGTGGGCCTTAATCCGATCTGACTGGATTCCTTAAAAGATGAGGAAATTTGGACACACAAGAAGACACCAGGGACACTCATGCACAGAGGAAAGGCCATGATAGGACACAGGGAGAAGATGGCCATCTGCAGGCCTAGGAGTGAGGGCCCCGAAGAAGCAAACTCTGCCAACATCTTGATCCTGAAATTCCAGCCTCCAGAACGGTGAGACAATCTATTTCTCTTGTTTAAGCTACCCAATCTGTGGTAATTATTTTTTGTTGTTGTTTGTTTTTGGTATATTTTTTGTTTGTTTGTTCTGAGATGGAGTCTTGCTCTGTCACCTACGCTGAAGAGTAGTGGCAGATTCATGGCTCACTACAACCTCTACCTCCTAGGTTTGAGTGATTCTCCTACCTCAGCCTCCTGAATAGTTGGGATTACAGGCATATGCCACCACACCCAGCTAATATTTGTATTTTTAGTAGAGATGGGGTTTCACCATGTTGCCCAGGTCTTGAACTCCTGGTCTCAAGCCATCCATCCACCTTGGCCTCCCAAAATGTTGGGATTACGGGCGTGAACCACCACGCCTGGCCCAGTCTGTGGCATTTGTTATGACAGCCCAAGCAAACCAACACATGCCTTCCCAGCTTTTATTTCTCATGGGCATGGTGCCTCCTCTTGGCCTGCTGCTGATTCCTAATGCCAGACAAACAAGGCTCTGCTCACCCAGCTCTGAGCCGTACGTACCCCAGCACTGGCTTTGCTCTGCCCTTCCTTATCCTTCCGGCCTCCTTGTAATACTGCCCCAGGGCAACTCCATGTCTGGCTACTCCTGGCTCTTACTCTTAACCCCAACCCAGACCAGCAGCCACCAAGACCTATTGTCCCTTCTGTACGCAGCCTTTGTCTGACAGGCCACATGGTATTGAACACTTGTGGGATCAGAGAAAGGAAGAGGAAGTTTGAGGCATTTTAGAGGATGGCAAGAGACGGAGGCCCTTCTCCTTTCTCTTCACCCCCTCCAAGAACTTCCCACAGGTTGATAAATATTGTTATGGTCCAAAACAGAAGGTGTAATTTGGCTACATTCTCAGATTTTACTCCTCTGGGTTAGTAAAACAGATGGAGGGCTGTCCAAGTCGAGGAGAAAGCCAGACTCATTCAGAATGATCTTTTCAATGCTCTAAAACCTAACACAGGCTTATCTTTACTAATTCTCACCCTGAGAGCCAGGAGACCAAAGGACTCATTGGGATAGCGCCGTGTGAGAGTAGGGATGTAAAAACCAACAGCTCTCCCAGGCTGAGTCAGGTTTAGGGGTCTGCTTTGTGCACAGAGACCCTGTTGATATCTTATGACCCACTTAGAATTATTTGGGGGGAATTGTTTGAAAAAGAGAAAAAAATCCCATTGTTTCCTATTAAGATGCCACCAGATAATCTCCTGGCTGAGCTCTTTGGCATCTTTTTCACAATAATAAAAAAATATATATACCTCATTTCCTTTTTAAAGACAGTGGATATTGAAATGCCAAAGCTCAGATTGGACTGCATGCTAAATCTCAAAATTTTCAGGCAATTTAATCTGGATAAAGACAAGCAGTTTGGACTCACCTCAGTGCACATCTGATCCAAGGAGGTGATGACTTTACAGCTGGCAGAAAACAGCACCACCAAAAAGAAGCAGCTGCAGTCAAAAGCCATCGTAGGACCAGTGCAATCCCAGTGTGCTGGGTTTACCTAATGCTTGGAGCTGAGAAACTATGAAGGCCCTGAAGCTATCAAGCTATGAAGGCGCTGGCAATTTGGCAGCCAGAGAGGTAGTCAGAAGGGTGATCTTGGAGCAAGAAATACTGTTGACTGCTCAGCATTCTGTGATTCTGCTTCAGAAAAAAGAAAAAAGGAAGTCTCTTTTGCATACCACCCATCTTTGCCAAAAATAACTGAGGACCCAGCCCCAGAATGGCCCAGTGCATTTCCTGCCACTGAGCATGAATCAGTTGTGCAGTCCCTTTGGGCTGATCACACAGACTTTCATTGTGATGATTCCAATTGACTTTATGCCAACTTCAAGCATTTGGCCAACTCCAACAGCTTCTGGTCCTTTTCCCCAAGAGAGGCCATGAAAGCTCTGCCCATCAAGGAGGTCACTTTCTTAGTTGTCCTAGGTGAGTGGGTAGAAGAGCTGTTGGAGAACATTGGAAGGGCAGAGCACTCTGTGGGGGCAAATTAAAGAACTGAGCCCTTCATGGCACCTGCTGAGCTGGGAGCTGGAGCAAGAGGGAGCAGGCTTGAGAGTGTATCTGCTCCTTGAGCTTCAGCTGCTGCCTTGGCCACCTTGGCCATCCCCACCTCTGGTCTTTGTGTAGGAGGAAGATGACTTCATCTCTTGACCTGGTGGTTCAGGCTTATTAAAGCAGTTGGGGTGAACTCCCCTCTTGTTCCTTCCTAACCTGGCCTGGGGAAGGAGGAGACACCTGCTATAGACAGAGCAGCCTGGCTAGGGGACAGCAGAGTTAGGGATGCCAGTCTTGGCTCTATTTCTTCTTACAAATAGTTTTGAAGCAGGATTGCAATTATCCTTATCATGGAGCAAGATGTGGCAATGATTAAAGAAAGACAAAGATCAAACATTCCTCAATAGGCTGCATTTAGCTACCTGTTCTGTCTGTTCTCCAACCCTTTGGAATACAGGATATATTTCGTGTTACTGTTCTCCCACTCCATTTCCAAGAACCCAGTTCTCAGTATCAGAGTTGAAAATGACTCGAGTACAACTACCACTACCGCCACCACCACTACTGTATTACTATGATGAATAAAATGACTATAGTATCTGCCATTTATCGAGTCCTTACTATGTGTCAGACACTGGGTCAGGTTTAATTTTTGGTTTTTGCTGCATTTCCCTATCCTCGAATATTTCCACATATTCTATAAAAGAGATGTTATTATTTCTCTCATTTTACAGATGTAGAAATTGATTCTTAGAGAAATTAAATGATCTCTCTAAGGCACACAATTAGAAAGTGGTGGTCTAGGGCTTCAGATCCAGAAAACCTCACTACAGAGACTGTGCTACTACTCTTCACGGTTTAAGAAAGGATTTTTCCTCTGGAAGGAGCTGAAGAGTAGATGAGTGAAGAATGATGTTCATTTGGAGATTTCAGAGAAGATGCCAAAATGCAGAGGGGATTGGAGGAAATATGTACTTGGCGCTCTTCTGGGGCTGCTACACATATCTGGGCTTTTCCTAGTCACTCTTAAAATGCCATCTTCGACAGCAAAATAATCTCTGAAGGTGCCATCAGCAAGACACGTCTAAGCAAACCCTGAGCAATGACAGATCACCTTGCTTCAAAGAAGACATCCGTCAGTGTGCAATGGGAAGAGCTGAGGACTGGGAAGGGTTTAGTGCTAGACCTGAGATCCTTGCTTGCCAACTGAGTGACCTTGGGCAAGTCACTTCACTTCTCTAAGTCTATTTTCCCATCTGAAAAACAAGAATTAGAATTTGCGTTCTGCCTACATCACTGGGTAATTATGAGGATCAAATAGGATCATGTCTGTGAAAATGCTTTCCTTACTTTAAAGTCCCACATAAATATGCAGAATGTGAGGCAAAGGCTGAGTAACAAATTCTGATGTCATGTAAATATCACTCTTAGGAAATTGTCTCTTGCCCCAGAGATGCTGAAAGGCATATTACTTTCCTTCTTAAAGAAAGGTCTGATGGCTCAGTTAAGGCCATCAGATTTTGTCATTTTCTGAGGCTACATCATTTGCATATGATTTGCATGCATTTGCATAATGAATTCACAAGACTCACTGCAAGTATATAAGAGTAAAAGAAAATGAATGAATATGAGTGACCTTCTGCCACAGCATTCAAATCACATATCCAGGGCATAATACTCTGAAATATGAAATAGATTAAAATTTAAACTATTACAAACAGATGAGAAGATAGGGTTTAGAGGCAAGAGTGAAACTCTTATTTGGTCCCAGAATTTGGATATAAAGAATCACATGCTCTTACAGGTCACCCATCCAAATGATTTTCATACGTGAATTCTCTCCTACACACTCCTTAATTCACCCCTCTCTGTAGACAAAAACATACTGAGTTATTTTTCAGACTATTCTGAAATGCCTCAGGTGACAGAAAACTCATCATTCCTCACCCCACAATGGTTTCAGCCAATTTTGATTGTTCAAAAGGTTTTATCTTACATTGAACTGTTAAAGTTTCCTTTGGCTAACAGAGTAAGTTCTAGGCCTTTTCTACCTTTAAGTATTTGAAAATAGCTACCACGTCCCTGAATCTTTCCCTTTCTAAGTTAAAAATCTCTAGTTCCTCAAACTATGCCATAAATTAATGTATTGCAACCTCTAGCAGACTGTTTATCTAAATGTTTTCTCAGTTGCCCAAGGCAAGCACTAACTTGAATTTTAATCCTAGCTTTGCCACTCACTGTGTGTGTCACTGGGCAGTCTCTCTGAGTCTCAGTTTGCTTATCTGCAAAATGATGGAGTTGAACTAGCTTATCAACAAGGTACTTATTTATTTAAAGCTCCATTACTTTATTTCAAAACTATGATTTCCAATTTACTTTTGTAATAGAATTTTTGGCTTGAGCCAGTAATATTGAGTTACCCTTGATTTGCCTCACATCTTCTTGGCAAACAAAAATTACAGAGAGAAGTTCGGCTGAGTGATGGGCACCATGATTTCTGTAGTCCCAGTTGACTCACAATGCCATTGAGGAATAAAATTGCCAACCCCCATGCTGAGAACCAGTTTTTGCAGGGATATGGAGACGGAGAAGAGAACATGAGAAAACACATCATAAACGTTTTATTTCCACTGACCAGCATCCATGTCAGTGAGGAAACAACAGACTGTGGACTCCAGAAGTTTTCAAAAGTTCAAGCACCCTAATATTAGATATTAACATATATTTTTAGACAAAACCCAGATCATTGTTTTTGTTTCTGTGCTGTCTTTTATTCTACTACATTTGCATGCAGTTTGTCCCCTGTGGTCAGCTGTCACCCCATGGGTGACCACATAGAACTACAGAATCTCCTGTCTGGTGAGGCCCATATATTCGCTTTTTTGTTGCCATGTATTTATAATCTGGGAGTGGTCTGGGGTCCTAGGATACCTTATTTGGCTCTTCAATCTCTTTCCTGGTGATAATTCAAAGGAAATTTACCTCAAAAGACTAATTTACATTTTTTTCAAGGATGTGCAAACCAAAATATGCTTTTGTGATCTAAATTTAGCTAAAAACTAGATGTTTTTAAAATAATTTCATTAGATAATTAAGTAATTGATGTTATATCTTATGGACACCAGTCGGTATTAAACTGACCTATGTTTTTACCCTCTGTACATTTAGTTGTAGTTCTGCTTTTTGTTCAAACCTGCTTTCCTACATTCCTGCCTCTAGATGGTTAAATTTATTTGCTTCTAAAATTTTACATGAATATTTTAAATATTGTATAGTCCATTTTACTCTTTATTGTTATATTTTCTGATACGTTTATTTATTTTATTTTATTATTATTATTTTCAGATGAAGTCTCGCTCTGTCACCCAGGCTGGAGTGCATTGGTGCAATATTGGCTCACTGCAACCTCACCTCTGGGGTTCAAGCAATTCTCCTGCCTCAGCCTCCTGCGTAGCTGGGATTACAGGTGTGTGCCACCATGCGTGGCTAATTTTTGTATTTTCGGTAGATACGGGATCCACTATATTGGCCAAGATGGTCTCAAACTCCTGACCTCAGGTCTCAAACTCCTGACCTCCACCTGCCTTGGCCTCCCAAAGTGCTGGGATTACAGGCATGAGCCACCGTGTCTGGCCTGTTTTTTTAAAAAATCAAATTATTATAACCCAAGGTTCAGAGCCATAAAGGCCCAAAGTCAAGCCCACCTCTCTCTGAGGGTTATTGCTGTACTGCTTCATGAGCACACCAGAATGGAGCCTTCTAGTCCTCTACTCCTGCTTTCTTATCATGCTGTTTATGCTTCTTTCTCCGTGGTGGATGATACTTATGAGGCCACCAGGCTAGACAGAGCAAGTGATGCGGATGCCCATCTCACAGCTTGAGAGGAGACGGGGCTCTCCTCAAGTCTGGCTTGGTTTTATAGGGGAAGAAAGACTTTTTCTCTACCTTCTTTGGTTCTCAGACTGGGGCCTGTCAATTGAACTGGTGAAAGACAGATTAACAGGAGATAAAGTATAATAATTTTATTTGATTATAATATTTTTATGTGGCACAAGGGCTTCCTAGAAAGACGGGAAGATCCCAAAGTGGTGATTAGACCCAGAGGCTTACGTACCATTTTAACAAGGAGCAATGAATTGTGGAGTTGTGACAAGACCAAGAAAAGGGAGCAGTGAATTGTGGGAAAGTGACTGGGAAATATACGGGGAAACTAATGAAAGGCAAGGGTTAAGTAAGCTCTGTTTTGACTCTCTGTCTCCAGTGAGAACTTTCTCTTATTCCTAGTACAGGAAGGGTAGCTGTCTCATTGGAAATTTATGTCCTATTTTTAGGTAAAAATGGGGAGACCAGGAAGCCCCTCCTGCCTTAATTACCTTCAGGTCAAAATAATCAACACATCAAAGTGGTGTATTTTGAGGTGTTATGTTCTGGTCCCCTTCAATTTGACCTTCAATTTCAAGCTCAGCTGTGTAATTTTGAAGCTGGACAGCCCTGTGATGCTGACCCTCATCCAGAACTATTTCTCTGTGTTTTTTTTTTTTTTTTTTTTTTTTGCTCTTGTTGCCCAGGCTGGAGTGCAATGGTATGATCGCAGCTCACTGCAACCTCCACGTCCCAGGTTCAAGCAATTCTCCTGCTTC